AATAAAAACAAATGAATATCAACTTGATTATAAAAAGGCCACAGAACACCAAAAAGCAGTAACCAGGTAACAATATACACATAACCAGATAACATTATAGCGTAACCGGTTAGCATTCTTATAAGAATGCTAACCGGTAATTATATTGTTAAGTATTCTAGCAGAATATGACAATTTTAGCTAAGAAACTTAGTCTCAAAGAGATGCTTCGCATAATATTATTTACATATTTTTTTGTGCAATAATACCAGCTAATTTCAATTTCTATCTTTGAACTTCCAGCCTCTGATCATACAACCTGACCTCAGAAATGTCCAGAGATGATAAAAAATAATTTCAGTTAAGAGAATACTCAGTATTACTTTTTTTCCATAAACTCCATATCCTTCTCCCAATCACGAGCTATATAATTGCGAGAAGTAATAAGGTAAGCATAATATATATTAATATCGGTAATATTAAGGAGTCCGCAACAATAGGAATAGCTGAAGTTGCTTCTGCATCACTCACAGAAATTGTCTGAAATGTAGGAGAATTAAGAGCGAAAGGTTATGATAAATTATTTATAAGTAGGGTGGAGTATTTACTTCATTATGTGAAGTGCCTCTTGGCTCTTTCTTCGACAGTAATTCTTGAAGATAAGCGTTTTTCTCAAGTGAATTTGATCATGCTAAAAATAAAGAATCTATCGTCTGATTGAATATGTTATTTGACATTCTATTTCATATTTTTTTGAATTAAGGTTCTCATTCACTTGCTCCAGTTCGAGCCTGAGGGATTTTATTGTGGATGAGTCTTTTTGGACTGGCTTCTCTAGTAGTCCTCCTATTATATGCGAATCACGTTCTAGTTCCAGATCTAGCAACTTACCTTCCAATTTAACTACTTTGGCTTCAAGAGAAAGTATCTTGACCTTGTCAGCGGACAAAGCTTTCTAGGCTAAAGTTACCTTTCTCTTTTGTGTTTTAATATTTGATTTGAGAGATTTGATTTCGGCAGAATAATTGGCTCGTTCTGCTTCATACTCACGTTGACTCTTAGAATAGAACTTCTGTTCAGAAGTAAATTGGGATCTAAGCTTAGTATTTGTATCATTTAGTTGACTAACCTTATTTCTGATATCAGCATAGATTTGCTTAAACTCCTTTTCTCGCCCTAAATATTTCAAATTTTCAGCCTTTAACCTTTCGTTGAAGTCAATAATTTCAGAGTTAAAATCAATAGTAGATCTTAATTTTTTTTTGAATTCTTGCTCATATGTACTACCTAGCTGATATTTTTTATTTTTTATATCTTTCAGTGTATGCATATTAAACATAATATTGATATGGTTACATAGCAAGAAAAAAAATATATGAATAAAATTCTGAGATAATACATTCATTCTGTATATGGGTGGTGTGCTATTAAAATTGAGGTACGAGATATAGTAAATCATATAATCTGTACTTCAATTTTAATAGCACACCACCTATATTCAAAATGATATATTCTTTCTATACATCCTGTATATCCTGTATATCCCATTTATCCGGAATATGTTTTTCCTGTACATCCTGTATATCTTGTATATTCTGTTTATCTGAAATATATTCTTCCTATATATCCTGTATATCCTATATATTTGGAATGATACATTTTTCCTATATATCTAAATTAATAAATTATTTCAGAATATTATATTAGATATAAAAAATATTACTACCATATTTAGGCGACACATGAGATGTGATACCCCTCCTTTTTCACCAACTGATTACAATTTTATTATGTACAGTAATATGCTGAAAAAAAGCCTAGAGATGAAGTTTTAAAGGATTTAATAGATAAATATTGCACATTACAAAAACGTATTTATCAGATCTGAAAAGGTAAAGAAAAAAATAGGGTTATGTGAAATCAACCAATTCATATGTCAACAGCTTTGCTTTCTAATATAAATGTTGTGGGTAGACGGACTAAGCCAGAGATCCAAGACCAAGATGTTTCTCTATTTGCAGAATTGGAAAAACAAATATGTGATGGTAAGATAAATCTTACTAAATCTACCAATTTGGTTTCAGAAGGGAGTATTATTTTAGGCGGTAAAGCAAAAAAAGACTAGAAGAAAGAAATCGAAGACTATTCAGATTTCTGAACCATCTAGTATTCAGACTCAGCCAATCCAGACTTTAGAGAAGAATACAAATAGTATAAATTTGGATGCATTATATGAAAAGATGGTCAAAAAAAAGCATAAAAATTTTAGATGAAAAAAGAAGCGTTATACTGAAAATAACTCATTTATTTCTTAAAAAGACTTTCACACAACTCATTGATTTCTGCATTGAACTTGATAACATTGAAAGCTTTTTCTCAAGCTCTTTCATATGAATTACCATATTCTTATAGTTTATGCATTTTTTTAATACATTATCATTCTCACTTAAGTCCTGCAAGACTTGCAAAATTCTATCTGAAGTTAAGAAAGCATTACTTTCAGAAGTAGTAGTCACGCAGTTTACCTCAAGCTTATTTTTGATCTTATGCATATTAATTGGTATAAAAAATTTCTTACCATTACACTCTAGTCTTAATTTTCATTTTTATGCAAGCAAATTATAATTATATTTATCGAGAAGTGTATTAGGTAAGATCAGCATTGGCTTTCTTAGATGGTTTTTGATTACTGCGAAATCAGAATATATAGTACATTCAGAAGCAAAATATACAGACGCATTCCTAGTTATACTAAGCTATTCCATAGAAACTGAAGTAATGCCTTTAAGGTCATGTTTTTCACTCGTATCAATTTTTAGTTTTAGTCATTTAGTTATATATCAGTCATAATTGCGAAATTGGTATCAGGATCAACTACAGCATCTGGAATCACCAAGTGTTTGATTTTACATTTTACCGTTACAATTTCTATAGCAAGATCCTTTTTTTGAACAAAATCAATCTCCATAGGATCATCCAAATATTCTTCCTTCTCTACATCTGATAAAATGTCTTTGGTAATTAGAGCCTTATCGCTTTGAAACTCTATCTTCTCCTGAATAAAAGGCACTTGTTTTAATGTATCAGCTTTATTGGAGTCTTGAGAAATCAATGTAGGAAAAATTAATTTAAGTTAACTTTAGAGAATTTTACAAATAGTTTCTTCCAAAGTATTTCGTTTAGCCTTACCAGATCTATTTATTGGCTTCTCAAAATCTACTTTACTAACCTATTCAGTAGATAGAGCCAAAGGTATTATACTATTAGACTTGTTTTTTTTCTTAAAGCATTTCTTAGATGGTAATTTCTTGGAACTAGATTTCTTAGAGATTGACTTTTGCTTTACTTTTTTTTATCTTAATCATATTAACATTAAGCTTACCTTCAGAATCAGAAGAATCAGAAGAACTTGAATCAGAATCAGAATTATCACTAGATAAGATATCAGAAGAAGAATCTGAATTCGAATCTGAAGTCAGATCTAAAGTAATGAGATTAACCTTACCTTTTTTAAACATTTTTTTTTCTTTTTCTTCTTTTGAGAGTAGTTATGAAATTATGTCCAGGCTTATCACAGATAGAACATTTATGTTATGTTTTTACAACCTTTTTAACGGCTTTAGCCACATGTAACTTTAACTGCCTTTTTGTGAACTTAGAAAGTTCATCATCAGAATCAATCTCAACCTTTTTATTTGACTTTAGTGGTAAAGTGAGATTAGGAACAGGAACAAATTCTAGGGTCTCTCCTGTAATCTATGATAAAAATCTTCCTATATTCTATTCTCGTAAATTTTTATGCATTCCCGCAAGTTGTGGTTGAAATTATGATGAAGTCACTTATTGAGACTGTTAAGATTCTGAGGATGCTATTGTATTTTTTACCAAGCTCTCAATTTCATTTTTAGTCATCGCTGATTTGTTAGTATCTGTATATAGATTGGCCGCCTGAAAAATTGGAAAAGAAGATGATGCGCTCTTTTGAGATAATATATAATTTTCTGCTTCAACTAGAGCTTATGTAATATTATCCTGTGTATCATGAAATTTGGCCATCATTCAAAGATTATATTGATTTATCGGGAACAGACCATGAATAAATTGCTCTCTTTGCTATTTAGGAGTCATTTCAGCTATTTTACCAATCTTTTTAATTCTAGTGGAGAATTGCTTTAACAGATATATCACCTTGCATGAGTTGACTAAAAATTGCCATGTGTTTTAAGTATCTAACTGTTGTATAACCAGTTCTAAACAGATATAGAAGTTGATCAAGCTTAATATCCAGAGCAATAGTAATGGCAGGAAGACCACTTTCAGCATTAAGCATTACTGATGCATTATCTACAGGTTCGCTACTAGCTATAGACCAATCTTCATTCCATGTCCCATGTGGAATAATATCAGCACCTGTTGTGATTCCTGCTCACATTCTACCAATTTCAGCGGCTGCCTTATCTTGAAATTCTCCAGCAGTATTCAAACCACCATTTTGATTACTACCATTTTCAGCACCTATTGCTCAAACAGCAGTTAAAGTAGCTACTCCCAAATTATCTGAGAGATTATTACATCTCCAATTTTTACCTTTAACACAAGTTAAATACCAATTTAATGCATTACCTGCAAGATATGATACTACTAATCCAAATGCTTCTTCTCTTTTGGGAGCCTGATCTACACCAGGCGCAATATTTATTTACTAGCTATTATATATCTTTGCATATCTCTAAGTCAACCTTCTGGATCCTCTCCAGAACGACCATAAAATATTGGGATTTGTATCCTACCATTCCTGATATATTTAATGGATTATTCTGTAGATTAAAAATAATTAACTGGGAATTTCTATTTATTAGCTGAAGAGCAAACTTCTCCTGTACTAATGTATTAATATGAGCTTGCTTTCTAGTATTATTATTTATCATAGCTCCTTCTAATCTTTGAGTAATATCACGCTATTTCTGGTGTTCCCTGCTTTTATCTCTATAATGTCTATGCTAATTCTAAGCTGTTGAATAATACAATCATGTTGTCTTCTTCACCTTTTAGCATCATGATTATACTTTATGGTCTATTTATGCACAGTTCTCCTATGTTCAGTAATTTGACCATCTCTACGTTGAACTATTAATTGGAAGATAATTTTTTCTTGTGATAGTGCATTAATTTGATTTGTTTTCTAGTAACCATACTTTGAGCATATGCCTGCAAATTCTGAGTTAATTTCCAATTATTTCTACACGCTTCCCCTTCATTATTTAAAACCAGTCTAAACATTTGATTATCATGCTATAATTGTACCCTAAGATTTTGCAAATTGTGCTCAGCATTTCTGATTCGCTGAGTTAATTGATTAATAAAGTATTTCTGATCTTGCTAATATTGTCGAATCAAATTAAGATTTGTAATAATATTAGTAAAACATATGAAAGACAGTCAGTAGAAAAGGGGGAAATTTAAATTTTAGTCAAAATTTATATTATTAGACCACTTGGCTAATCTTGATTATGTACACAAATTTGGCTTAATAATAAAAATTAACAAAAATTTTGGATTTTCCCCTTTTTTACTGACCGCCTCCCATATGCCAATTCTATCAAATTCCCCAATTATATCATTTGGGAGAACAACTCCAGTATTATCCAAATGTGTTTTTATTCTTTTTAACATCAGTAAATTTAATAGGACATAATATTGCGTAATATTAAGAAAACTTACGAGGTTGTTATAAGATTACGTAAATTATATATTCGTAATATTCCGTAACATTACAATATAGTACTATGTAATGTTATGAAATGTAAACCATGCAAAAGTTTACAGTATAGTACTTCGTAACATTATGGTGTAATATTATGAAGAACTTACGAAAATACAAGAATTTCAAAAGTTTACAGTTAGTATTTCATAACATTACGGTGTAATATTCTGTAAAATTTGCGATAATACAAGAATTTCAAAAGTTTACAGGTAGATTAACATAGTTTACAAAAATTTATGGTGTCAATTCGTTTATAATATTTATTTAAAACTTTCAGTCATATAATATTTCGTAATTTATTAAGTTTAATATATTTAAATTTATTTATTTATATACAAATTATGCTTTATTTAAAACAATTTGACAAATAATATGAAAA